TATATATATATATATGTGTGTGTGTATGCAGAGAGACACTTTGCGACACCTGAGCTGTATGTGACGCCTTGGTTTTTGACTTTATTTTCATCGAAGGTGCAGCTGCCTGTTTTGTTTGTTTTATGGGATTGGTTGCTGCTGGATAGAGATAATATATTTTTTTGTTTTATATCTCTCTCTATCCTCATCACCAACAGACAGCTGCTGCTAGCAACAGAGGTCTCGCAGCTGCCTGAAACACTCAGCAAACTCTCCATCAACTCCGTGCCAGAGCTCACACTTGTACGCTCCTGCTGCTGCTGCTGCTGCTGCTGCTGCTGCTGCTGCTGCTGCTGGTGCTTGTGCTGCTGCTGCTGCTGCTGCTGCTGCCGCTGCTGCTTCTGCTGTTGCTGCTGCCGTTGGTTCTTCGTTGGTGTTGCTGCTGCTGCTGCTGCTGCTGCTGCTGGCGTGCTCTGTGCGTAGAAGGATGAGGGGTTGTGAAGGGGCAGCAGCACTGCATGTGTTTCTGCTGCTGCTGTTTGCTGCTTGCTGTTTGCTGCTTGCTGCTTGCTGCAGTTGTGGCGCCTTGCTCAGCAGCTGCGAGACCAGACACCCCTCAGCTTCTCTTACATCTTCTGCGCGTCTCAGGTTAGAAGCAGAGGAGGCGCTGCTGCTGCTGCTGCTGCTGCTCCTTCTACTGCTGCTGCTTGGTTTGCTGCTGCTGCTGCTGCTGCTGTTGCTGTTGCGTGTGGTGCTGCTGATGCATCTGTCTCTCCTGTAGCTGTCTCCTTCACTGTCGCCGTCGTTTGCAGCCAGTGGACCACCGCATAACCCCGTGTCTGATGGTTCGGTTTGTGCTGCTGCTGTTGCTGCTGCTGTTGCTGCTGCTGTTGCTGCTGCTGTTGCTGCTGCTGCTGCAGACGGGGAGCACGGAGCCTCACCTGCAGCCGCTGCAGCAGATGGAGTCTGATCGGGTTTTCTTTATGCTGCCCCAGGAAGTACTAAAGTAGGCTTCATACTGCTAGTGCTTGAGCTGCGTGTTGTGTTGCTGCTGCTTGCTGCTGCTTGCTGCTGCTTGCTGCTGGTTGCTGCTGGTTGCTGCTGCTTGCTGCTGCTTCGTCTGCACGGCGACAGCAGCAGCGCAGCTTGCCGCTGCACTGCTGCTGGTTTGCTGCTAGCCTGTTGTGTCCTGTACTCAATGCTTGCTGCTTCACTGCTGCGGGGTGCTGATCGTTGCTGCTGCTGCTGATTTCTGCTGCTGCTGCATGCGCTGCAGCCACGCCTATGGACGAACGTCGGCGCCTCTGTTCCCCCCAAGTGAAGCCTCTGTTGCTTCTGTTCAGTGCAGCGGCGGGGGCTCTCCGGCAGCAGCAACTACACCTGCAGCAGCAGCAGCAGCAGCAGCACCTGCTGCTGCTGCTACTGATGCATCTGTTGATTCGCAGCGGACGAGAGGAGAAGCTGCTGCAGCGCGGGGCCCCGCGTGGAAGCTGCTGCTGCTGGACCTGCGGCCGCAGTGGCTCTTTGAGGGGGGGCGGCTGCCGCCGGCTATTCACGTCGACGCTCTGGGGGACTGGAAGCAGACGCTGCCTGCTCTCGTCGGCGGCATAGACCCTGCTGCAACTGCTGCTGCTGCTGCTGCTGCGGCGGCGGCGGCGGCGGCTGCTGCAGACGCAGGACACACCAGAAACAGCCTAAGTAAGTACACTTTGG